GTATTTTGATCTGTATTTGAAATTTTGAAACCACACTCACTCAGCGAACGACAATATCAGTTTCCTGTAACAGTTATTTCCAGTCAGCAAACTGATGCACAGTGGCAGTCAGATACGATTATCAGCACTCATAGATTTCTGAAAATTATACATGATTGGATCAGATAGTTTCACATAGCCTGATGTTAATAGCTGCCATAATGTGGAATAAGATTACCAAAATCTTGATAGGTGGCCATCAACCGTTAAAGCCTTTTTCAACCAATCACTTTGGCTCGAAATTTCGGGAAAAAGCATGTGAACCAACTTGTAAGTATCAGGTTGGTTGAAGAGATGGGAAATCGACGGAATTCAACTCTAGTAGGCCTGGAAATAGCCAAGGCCATATATATACCTTGTGTTTTCTGTATATTATGGACGTTGCCATTGTAAATACACCATCTGTTATGTTAGCACCTTTTTCATTTCTCAAGAAACTGAGAGAACAATAAGGGTGGAACCTGAAGGTATTTGTACAAGTGTTCACATATACATAAATCAGGCTATATCAGGTCACTATAAAGAGATATCCGAAGTCTTTCTTAAAAGTGAGAATCCGTAGAATATGCTTGCCGCTGACTTCATTTTTTAAATTCGGATCAATATTATTGACCAGAGTAATTCCCATAGACTGTAATGTGCAGTTGAACACTTCACATCTAACATTAAACTGAGTCTTTCAAACTTTTAAACTGATCAGGCCAAAATAATAACTGTCTATTATTTATGACGCTTCTGTTATCTTTAAGGAGAGCATCATGAGGGGTACCTCCAATATTAAGCGACATATCAAGAACTCCCCATGAGTGATGTAGTAAACCATCCTGTCAAAAAGATACATGACTGGTAGTTCACTTCAGAAGCTGAGTAAATGACTGCACAGATTTTTCAATAAGCCAATTCCCTCTGTCAGACTTCTGACTCTGCAGTTCCTTAACATCTCTTTTCTCGGTTGGTATATTGTGTGTATGTCAATACACCCGTAGATTATTGACTGACATGAGTCCAAAACTTTCCAGGTATTCCCTGATATACTTAGTGTCAATATCGAACTCATATGCACAATCTTCCACATGCAATGACATAATGGTTGGAACATCATTACTTTGAATTGCCAACTGATGTTCATGTAAACGATGATGAAGAAGGGGACCAATTTATCCACATTTTCAAATTCATAATATAAGAGAGAATGGAAAACAGACTCCCATTCCCGGATGTTTAGTCAATAGAAACAACACAGAAAATTTGAAATTCAGGTGCACAGGAAGCCATCATGCACTGATCAAATCTCTGACTGTGATGGCAGCAACAGATAAAATAAGTCAAGTACAAACTTCTTTGAAAAGAGCAAACACATACTATAGTGCAACAATTTTACATAGAAATAAAGAAAATTACTTGAGGACAGCTCTAAGAAAGAACGGTTTGTAACGCAACTTCATAAAAAGATGTCTATAAAATTTCACTGCCAACTGTATTTTAGTTTCTTTATTATATGTATCGCACACAGTGAAACATGATATTTATATGGACAGCATATTATGTTCGAAACCTTAATCAGTAACTAATACTGCTTCACTTTTAGACACATCTAATAAACAGACTAAAATAGAATTACAACCTACCATAGTGCTAAAGTTTTATTTTTATGCTGATTTCATCATCAACTGACTCCTGCGAGCTAATCCTCCTTATAAATAAAAAGAATATAAGGGATCACGATAAGACTAGTAGGGCTGTTTGAAATCGGTGTAGCCCATAAGCTAACAAACTCCTAATAGGCATTTTTGCTTCAAAGAAAAACGCAACAGCTAAAGGAGATAAAACTGATATCACGTTCACAAAACCAAGCTCAACAATTGCTATAAATACTTAGCTGAACAATGTTGCTACCCACTTTTCGTTTACATGAACATCAGTTGGCAATTCAAAGTAATGATGTTCCAACCATTATGTCATTGCATGTGGAAGATTGTGCATATGAGTTCGATATTGACACTAAGTATATCAGGGAATACCTGGAAAGTTTTGGACTCATGTCAGTCAATAATCTACGGGTGTATTGACATACACACAATATACCAACCGAGAAAAGAGATGTTAAGGAACTGCAGAGTCAGAAGTCTGACAGAGGGAATTGGCTTATTGAAAAATCTGTGCAGTCATTTACTCAGCAACTGAAGTGAACTACCAGTCATGTATCTTTTTGACAGGATGGTTTACTACATCACTCATGGGAGTTCTTGATATGTCGCTTAATATTGGAGGTACTCCTGATGATACTGTCCAGAAAAGCATCTAAAGCCTCAAGATCAAACCAATTAGCTCAAAGAATACACGATAGCTAGTATGATTAATCTCAGCCTAAAAAATATTCACTGTCGAAAGTCGAAAGGAGCTAATAAACACCTAGTGTAATAAATTCCAACTGACCATTAAATCGAGAATAGTCAGAAAATTATTATATGTAACATTTTTGCGAACTAAAAGGAAATCATTAGACTGACCAAAAGTGAACAGTCAATCATTGAGTGACTTTTTTAGTCATAGTACTACTTCTTGGGACAAGAATATAGTCATTTACTGTGATGTATACATCCGTTGGCAACAACATGAAATCGTTCACTGTATTATTCTTTTAATTTCAAACCATTAGGCGTATCACATCATGTTTAATTTAGATTTTGTCTTTCCGCTATTTGACATTAAGGTAAACGGTATATAAGCTAGAGGAAGGCATATGAACACCATATGTTATTTACACAGATGTGGAACATATGATCACCTGTGCTGTTGGAACAGTATTTGTGAACAGCTTGTGTGTAAGATCTAACTCTCAGGGCAAAAGGTCACTTTCAAATGTAAAAGCCATTTGGGTTTAAGTGCGTCCTGATGTACTTATTCAGCTGCGGCTCAAATGGTGGTTTCTCATGTTTTCTATCTTCCAGATTGTGTTCATCTGTCGGAGATTATAGTCGTTCACCTTTGGCCAAATATCAACAAACGAACCTGGGTAAATCTTACATATGTGACTGATTTACAGTCTCACACACCTTTTTTCTGAATCAAGCTTCGTTTTCAGTAGCATTTCCAACCTCTGTTAAGAGTTTTTAAGTGACTCTGAAGACCACCCTGGCAGCTAGTGAAATAACCAGTCAGATTTTGGTATTTCGGGCGGAGAGCTAGTTTTTCATGAAATAAAGAGACTTAACTGGTTATCTAAGTAGTTGTTAGGGTGACATTTAAAATCACTGGTTTTTATTGTAGTATATACGTGAAATGCGCTTGCTGAATTGACACTTTTTCAGGTTTTCAGGCTAAGTCAACACCCTGAAAGCTGTCGAATGTTACATGCATAATGGATATCTTTGAGCTGGATTGATACTCATCCTAACAACACAGACTTTTATGACGAACCTGAACTGAGATGTGACTGACTGCATAGGATATACTTATCGACGTTTGATATTGACGGTTTATTATTAGGTTGCAAAAGATTGCATAATATAGTTGACTGAGAGAAATGATATGAAATTATAGTCTGGGGAAAAACTGGTGACAATTTTTAATAAATATAGTATAGCGTACAAACATCCAATGGACTAGATGATATTTACCGGCATGCATCCTGCTCCAGTGGTATAAATGAGAGATGTGTATCAACCCAAATTTCGATGGTTAATAGGAAAGTGACTTCTCCAAATTCCATGTGCTGGATAGTGGTAGCACTTTTTACATGTACATAAGGTAAATAGGTCCATTCTGTGCGGAAAGGTTGAAGACAGTTGACAGGTAATAAAATTTACGTGAGAGAGATGGAAGGTGAAATATCCTTCTCTCTCAAGAAGAGCTGATGAGTGGAAATTGTTCAATAAAAGTACGCAAATGACACAGTATACACATTTCCTCAGCTTCTTGGTTATTGTTACAACCAATTATTCCCACATAAGTTTGCATATTGAATACAAGCTTCAAGAAACTTGTCTGCATCAAAACCGTCAGCATGATAAGTAGATCAAACTTGGCATAGGAATAGTTATATTATTTTGTTGCTTTATATCGGAGCCCTTGTCGATTATTTCAATATTTTTCTCCTGCATTTCTAGGTTCCCCTCGTATTTGAATGTTATGTCTTTCAAAGTGGGGATTTACAAGAGTTAGTTTCTGCAAGCTCATTTCATTCTCTGGACAGCATGGTGAAAATACATTTCGAAACTCTGCATAATATACGAATATCTCAATCTACTGGATATTCCAGAAACCATTTGACACCCATACTCACGAAATATCACTGCTGAAATAATTTTTATGAGAAAAAGATTTTGAACAGAGAAAGAACAGCGACTGGAACAAGATAACACGCATGTTATTTCGCCGGTTTCTCGTCAGCTGCCTGCAACCTGAGACATTTAAATGTATCACAAAAGAATTTTAGCATACTTTTGTTGCAGTTAAGTCGACTTGGTTAACAAGAAATGGCGTAATTTAACAAAGAATACAAAAGTCCAGATGCAGTTAACGAGATATGCCGAGAAGTTCCAGCTATATATGTTATTCAACAGAATATGAATAGTTATAAAAGATTACTTGAGATCAAAAAATCGCTTAGTTGATGACAAATAACAGACAAATTACGTAGTGATACAGTGAGCTGAACTTATTTAGTAGAAACATCATTGAAATTATGCACAAAATGAAAAGTTCAGCAAAAGGATGGTGTCATCAAATAGGGGGAGCAGCGAGATTTTAAATTGTCAGGGCAAAGAAAGACTTATCACTGCTTCTTCTTGAACACACAACTTCAATTCTTGTCATTTCTCTATGCAAGTTCATAAACGTGTTTGAAATAGATGAGTTGCTAAGTATTATTGGGCGCATGAACTAGTATTAATAGTTTAGAGTGAATGAAAGCCCCGTTTCGTCTTCCCGTATCTTTCTTCTATTTGATCACTTCAACACTAGTAGAATTTATCACTAAGCTTACTCTCTGAAGTATTTTTCACCTTGTCACAATGAAAAAATCTAGACAGTGTTTTTTGAAGATGAGTATTTTGTAAGACGTAACTAGCTGTCTCTTTATTGTTAGTTGTTTGTTTGACAGTTGTAATAGATTTATTTGAAAAAGACTTATTCCCTTCACCTTGTAATTCTGTTTTTCAAAAGTAAATAAATGTAATCCTGTGTAAGTTATCCTGATAAAATACTGTTGAATTGCAGTCATTTCTTGATCAACTAAAACTCTTATTACCTTGATGCGATAATTAGAGATTGATAGCATAGATTTATCTAATGGTGATACTAAGTGATCGGTCATAAACAAGACACTGACAGCCACTCTCAGATGTCGGATCATACACATTGTAGACTATTTTTTGCATGTTTTTCTGTATAACAGTAAATAAGCTATAAGCATCTGACTTTTCTCTTGGTGATATGATTATTTACTAAGTCTCTCTGCCTTCTCCAAAAGTCTCAGCTTCTACGTACTGGTAGGATGTAGCTTAAATTTGAGAGCAAAATTTTCAGAATTGTGATTTTACTACCAGTGTGTCAGTCAGTTGGTCTCTATATTAGCCCATGTATGCTGTATAAATAGCTGCAGGAAATATATGCTGAAGTTAATTATGCTATTTATCTAGTTTTATGCTGGTTTTCACTGATTAAGCAACTGTTTATCAAGATGCATCGAGAATGTAGATGAAATAATGGAGAAAAGAGAAATCATGATTAAAGAACCATTTGATATTATTCAGATCTTATATACATCTATTAACCAGGTTAAGACAAAGATGTACAATCAGTTCCTTTTGAAAGAAAAATGTATGAGTCATAATTTTAAACACAGTATCTCTGATGTTTTATTGCCCCAGTAACAACTTTTATTGGTTGTCAAGGTGATATATCACTCTAATGTACCCCAACATTGTCTTTTCCCCAAATGGAAACAAACGAAACGCCACCTTGTACACATCCATGCAGCAGGCAATGAACTACACCTATTGTGTGAGGCCTAGTGATACCCGCCGGCTGCATAAACCTCGGTAGGAGAGGCAGAGATAGAACGCGTGACCCAGTAGTTGACAGTTATCTCCATAAACCAGAGCCACAGCTCCGTTCCAAATGGAAGGTCGTTTCAGTTTACTTGTACATATTAAGCTCCAGTTATTTATTTAAGCAGGGATTTGTCAAAGTATTTTCAAATGTCCAACCCAATAGAATACGTCACTTGGCTTCAAGAGTACTTCCAAAAGAATTCCGAATTTGCTTGCGTTTCACTGAAAGAAAGTAACACTACACTTTACTTATCTGTGCAAAAACGAATAGGATTGACTGTTTATTTTGATAGCGAGTCATTTAACACAATTAGAACATTTTGATATCTTTCGTGAATAGAATACTTGGGATATTACTGCTGTATGGCATATGTTCTAACTAATTATATCTGAAACTCGTGTTTACTCTAACTTCCCACTTAAATTCATAAAGTTGCTGTCCATTATTTTTGCGAATACCAGTGTGCAAAGCTGTTATGAATATCATTAGTCAGACAACTTGTTCCGTGTTTCTTGCTGCTTGCTATTGCCCAAACTTAAGAAGTGTTTTTCTGACAGAATCCCGTTAATATTATAGGACAAAATTTGGTGTGAAGGTTACTGAATGCATATCTTTTAGAAAGACACTAGATTTATTGAATGGTGATCCAGATTCTTTTACATGATTCATTTTAAATAAAAATCATAAAATATTGGCGGGTGAAATAAAAACAAAATGTAAATACATCATATGTTAAGAACCAAGAAGAAGGAAAATCACTGGCAAGAATGAACTTATTTTACTTCCTTCAATTCATGCCAAGTGTGTTCGTGCTTTCAAGAAAATACTTTGAATAGGTACTAAATGAATACTTTAAATCTTTTACAAATTTGATGCTGAATTTCGCATATTTATAAGCGTTGTCTTTTGAAGTACCCGTATAAGAATGAGTGCAACAAAAAATAGTGTGCATTTTTTATTACTATAAAAGAGTTTGATTATGTATTTATGAGCTGTACAAAATATTAAGGTTTATAACAGAACCAGAAGTAATTTTGAAAGGAATGCTTTTCAGTTGTTTGTGAATGTGAGCCAGCTACAAATTGCTTGAGTAAGAGGTGATCTGTTTGTTTCGAAAAAAGCGAAGCATAGCTCGGAAGTTCATGAATAGTGGGCTTCTTCACCAAGATGTGTGAAAAATTCAACAGAATCACTACTCTGATGACCGCAACGATTGCACAAGTAAGGATCAGAATGACTATGAAATCCCATATGTATGTCATATAAAGTACGTTGACGAAAACGTATTTCACAAATCGACATTCATATGTGAAATCTTGTGAATTATTATTATTATTATTATTATTATTATTATTATTCAGAAAAGTATCCGTTGAAGATATTGATAAAGACACTGCTGAAGACTTACTATTTGGAAATTCACTGTGAAGCCTATAAGAATTAATTAACCCATGTCTGTTACCTTGAAGAATTTGTTCATTGGACTCAGCAGTGTTCACTATGAAGTGAAATTCAGATGGCTTATGAAATTTATCACAGCCTATATTCTTTTTATTGCGTGATGCAGAGGACAAATCTAAAGCTGATTCAAAGTCATTACGTATATGTTTATTCAACTGAACACCTTTTATTTTATCTGAATTACTGCAGGATATTCTGCTTGTTTCACCGATTTCTAATGACTCCTTTTTCATCGATTCTTTTTCTATCGGTATTCTGCTTTTATTTGGCGTAGTAATGCCGGTAGGAGAAGTAGAGGACAATGCGAATACTAGTGAATTCCTTTGGTCATTTAAGGAATTAGAAAATTTTGGAAAATCATTTCCAGAAAGTTGAGTAGAGTTACTGTGAAATTCATTCAATTTTGCATATCCTTTACAGTTTGATGATGCCAGTGGTGTGGATGACATGCTTAAATTAAATTCATTTGAAAATGAGTTGGGAATATCTGACGAACTTACTGAATTCGGCGGAATAAAATTTAAGTCAGGTAAATCTGATAAACTTTTTGAAGCAGATGAAATCAATCGAGCCCGATTAAAATCACCACACTGCATTGCAGCCATAAACGCTACCATCGAAGAGTATGCAGAGACTGAGTAGTTCAAAACTGGGTCTGGATTCACAGATATGGATTGTCCTGCTGTTCCATGTGAAGCAATGTTGCTTGTGTTAGAAATGCAGTCTGTAATCAGATTACCACTGGAACTCAAAATATTTAGAGAACTGCTTAGGGATATTGTTTGTGGAACTGCTGATGCAAGTGGTTCCATAAAACTAGTTGAAACGTCACCTGGCACAGCATAAGTAGGAAACAGAGGAGGTGAAGTAAAACTTGGATTAGGGAATGGAATATTATTTGATCCTGTTGTCGCAAGCGTTTGAAATACAGGCACAGATTGGTTTACATTAAAAGATGACGTGCAATTTACAGGCATCGAAGTAATCACTAAGTTGGTGTTTTCCACACCTTGGTCCGGAAATCTCTTGTCTGGTGATATCTCTTTAGTAGGTGAGAACTTCATTGTGGTATCTACCACGGGGTTGTTTTCGGATACGCTTCTGAAAGATGATGACTCTTTCACCTTGTTTTTTGTTGATCCTGATGAATTACGATATCTGTAGTTTATTTTGAATTACTGTGTCTAATGTTTGGTCCACGTCTCACATTCATCAGCTCCACTGTGTTATCATAAGGTGGCAAACTACCATCAGCATTTAAAACTACGGCTGGTTTATGTTCGTGTTTTGTAAGATGTAGTTTTAAACTATGACAATATTTTGTTGCGTAGTGACAATTCGCACAGCGGTACGGATAAACATTAGAATGTGATTTCATGTGACTATTGAGCATTGACTTATTGACGCATTCATAATTACACTTTGGACACTTATAAGGTTTAGATCCCATATGATTGCGCATATGATATTCTAAATGGTGCTTGTATTCCGTTATAAAACAGCATAAATGGCATTCTAACCGTTTATCTTCTTTGATGTGGAGACGCAGGTGGCGCCAAAATTCATCCTAAGAGTGAATAAATACATCGTAAGTGAAAAATATCGAAATCAACGAAGAAAACTATGAAAAGCTACTCCAACTATGTAAATTTTGTCTGGGAAGTTCAAAACCAAATGCCTGATTTAACATGCAATCCTGAGTGATATCAAGATGACAAAAGTTTTGAGTTACGGTGTTGTTATAAAAAGACATTATAAAGAAAATTGGTCAAAAAACACAAACCTGAGTTTTAATCCTAATCTTAAAGCACAGTCGACGAAATGCGTCTAAATACAAACAAACAGCTTATAACTTAGTACTTAGTTACAGTTAACTTAGTAAGTGCACCAACGCATGAAACAGTTTAAACGATACAAGATAAAATCAGTTTAAAAACAAATGGCCAGCATATTAAATTAACGGAAGGCATAGCAGTACTGTTGGAACGAAATTAAAGCTGATAATTTAAAACAAAATTGTCTGAAAAATCGTGTAGTCTTAGCAAGTCTATGCAATCTGACAAAAAGTTTTCTTCATGAAACTATCTTAAATAGCTGTAGTTTTCCAGACTGAAGTTATCGATACTTGGGTGATTGGTGGTGAAACGATGACCTAAGTCACGACAAAATTTGAATTATTCGCCACCAAATAACCGCCCCGGTGCTCAATATGGTGTTCCTTTTCTCTAATTCCGCTGGATTTCCATTGAGATGATAAGACCTGGTTGGACAACCGGTATATTCTCAGTGAGATCCCAGTTTCACAAGACAACCGCCCAAAACCCTCCATGACTCAAGTGAAGTTAAGATCTGCTGGTTTTCTAGCTGAGTATGTAGACCTTCAGGCCGGTAATCCGGAAGTATTTAGTCCAAATTTTTCAGTGACTCAGGTTTTCATTTAGCGATGGGTCATCACCATTGCTAAAACCCTCTTTCCAACAAAATGAATTATGTACCATGATATTACTTTTTAATATGAGGTAGTATGTGTTTTAGAATGGAAAATGGTAGTAGATTAAACTTATGACAATTGAATATAATTTGACTATCTGAGATAGCCGTAGTTTGGCAGACTAGTATTTGTACTGGGTGATGAATGAAGGTAAGATGAAAATCTGGACGGCACCCGGATTCCAACCAGCTATCTTTGAATAGGCAATGGAAGTGAAATTTAAAACCGATTTTGTGATGCACTCAGCGGTGGTACTCAGAAGAGTTCCGTGGAAGTATGAACCATGGTAGGTAGCTTCACATATTATTTTCAGATCCAGGACTTTAGAAAACTAGGTAAGCTGGAAATGTTTTGAAAAATTGAAACTAGTGAGTTAGACTGACACATAAACAGTCCATTCCACACTTGTTAAACCACTGTGAAGTAGTAAACAGATACTTTGAAGAATGATCAAAAAAATCAAACTTTAATAGGGACACAACAGTTTTTTTCTATTGAGGTGATTCCAAGAAACAAGTAATAGCCCTAAATTTCTAGGCATTTTCTGTCTATTTACGTTTTTTTTAATTTACAAATAACTACTAAGCATTATAATCAAAGGTAACCAAGAAATGCATGTGTGTAATTTGTATGTACCTTCCTAAGTCTCTTCATTTCTAGTAGAATTTAAATTACTGGAATATTGGATAATGCACTCGAAACTTCGTTTTCTGATTCAGTAATAGCAGAAATTTTGAGAAGCTCTTTATAGTATAATTATAAGTAGTTTCTCTTCATTTACTTGTAGACTGATTCCCTAACTGCTGAAAACTCTAGTCCATGATTTATTACTATTTACTAGTACTATAAAAGAAATGCAGGAAAATTTGTGCTCTTGCTTCTTGTCTTTTACCAAATGCTATAATTTGAAACCGTCATGGATAATCTTATGAAACATCGGACTCTTACTCTTTGTATCTAATTTTCTCCATTTTCAACAGAGGGGAATTCAGTTAACTGTACAAGTAGTATTTTGAAGTATGAAGATATGTCTTTTTGCATCCTCTCAAAGTTTTTTTCAGTAAAAAATAGACATCTGCATTTAATTTGATTTAATATATTGTTATATATATCTTACTTTGCAGGTATAACGTGCACGGTAGTCATTTAGTTTGTCAAAGGTTCATAATGAGAGAGGTAAGCTTTTTATGAATTTAATACTAATATTATTAAGTGAGACTTGGTAGTTACCAGCGTCACTGGAGGGATGAAAGAGTAAATAAGTAGTTTTCTTAGTGTCACTAACCAGTTGTAATTATTATAGAAGAAGCGTAAGATACAGGAATACACTTCAGTTAGATAGCGCTAATGCTTTGTCAACAGATGTTAGCGACAAACAAAAAAACCAATCAAGACGGTGTTACATACAACTCTTTCATTGGTTTAGAGTCAAATATTGAGCCTACGAACCAAATTCATTAGTTTTAATGATAGCTGAACATAGTATTAGTTGACAGTCTCTTCTAGGACGTGTTCTTATGTGTTCGTTTATTTTAGCACAAACTGTAAGTATAAGTACTGGAATTTAAACAGCACATAATCATAAAAATATCAAAAACTAATTAATACACCAATCTTTGTACAGAAACATTTGTAAATATTTATATTATCAGCTATTCGGAAAATTTAAATATGAGCTAAAAACTAAATTTTCAGTCCTGTAAACATTATAAAATTTACGTATCTTAAACAACGTCACCCAGACTGAAAATTCCATATCCACATTTTTGTGAATTGAATATAAATAATTTTCTAAAGTTAGTGTGGTAATAAAGAGAATAGATTATAGAAAACCTGTAATTGTCGAGTACTTGTTACCGCACATGTAAAACATTGGAGCTGATTCAACTTCATTTTGTCTCCAGAGGATATTCCCAGGTGAAGAAAGAAGGAGTTTGTCTTCTGAAATAAATCACAACATAATCCTATATTCTCTGGGCTGGGTTGTTTAATCGGAATTAAGCAACCCAGCTCAGAGAACACAATACAACCAAGGCCATCCACCTGAGCTACAAATATTCTCCATTATTTCAGAATCCTATATTTCTCCACTACGTAGTTATAAGATTCTTGTCTGATATTCAAAAACTCAAAAATACAGTTTAACTGTGACTGAAATAAATATGTTCTATAAGGTTGTGAACCTTTATCAGCTAATGTGGTCAGGACATTTGTTACGCATGATGAGCCACCACTAACTTACTAGCTAAAACGAGATTAGAGTGAAAGTGTGTGAAGATGGAAAGATCACAAACTGATACCAATCCCCGAAGTTCCTAACTGATGATCCACGTCGTATAAGGAACTTTAGGTTTCCCGCACGGGGCCCGCGAAGTGATCGAAACCTATGGTGGAAGACTTTGGGGTTCCATTCTGATCACAATAACAAAAATACACACGGCGTTTAATTATGAAGCACTTAGACATAATTAGAGAGTTTATGAAAAGGTGTTATAACGTAATTAGATGCTTGAATTTTGAGGGGTTTGTGGGAATTTAGAGATATTTCAAGTTGATATTCATAGTAAACTGACATCACTTGGAGGAACAATGGAGACCAGGGAGCACTAGACAGCTGTTTCATCCTACTATGGGATTCTTCAGCAGTGGGCACTGCCGAAATTATATCTACATATATATGGTGTTAAATGATTCCACTGGGTTATAGTTTAAGTATCTAAGCCATTAACTGGAAGCAAAGAATCAAGATTATATAAATAAACTGTACCTTTGTATCAGTTACGAAGTCGCACTGTTTACATCGTTGCAACTTAGGGCGTACAGATCGGATCGTTTTACCAGAGAAATTTTCAGGTGGTACATCTGAATGAAAGTCTTTTAAGTGACGTTTCAAACGACCTTCAGTGCGAGAAGTATAATCACACTTCAGACACTTGTAATCATAATGTGATCGTAAATGATCTTGAAATTCTTGTCTGCAGCTTCCTGAAATTTTAAACACAAAAATGTGAAACCTTATTTTCCGGTCATAAATCAAATGGCATATAATTTAAATCACAAAATGAAACCAGATAAAGGATAAGTGAAAATAAGAAAACCGTAAAGCATCTTTTCTTATTTATATAACAAAGATGGTCTCTTTCTCCTCTTTTTGACTGTCAGACCCTAGTTTTTAAGCCTACCAGTAAGTATGTTTCTGTTTAACAGGTTAACTGATTCCGGGCAATTAACGTTTCATAAAGTCAGACAATTCATGTTATAACATTATTATCTTCTGCTGTCACACAACTATATCTTCTTGCCTTTTATTTGACCTTTGCTAAACACTATCATAAATCATTCAGTTTGCGAACACTTTCTGTTTGAATCCAGCCACTGACTAACTGGGAATTTTAGTGCTTAGTAGTAACTCAATGCTTTTGACATCTAAGTTTATTCGATTCCAGCTAGGATGCAAGTTATGGTGGGCATCGCTGGGTTTCAAAATAGATCAAAACAGTGTTGAGATGCTATCTACTTTACATTATTTATTAGTTTAGCTTCAGTATATGACAATAATTTTCTGCAAAAAGAAACGGTATATCTAAAAATAAATGAACTACAAGGGTTGTGTAACCTTACTAAATTCCAAGGTGGTGTTCATCAAGGACTGACATCAGCTGAAGAATCATTGAAAGCGCGGGAGTAGTGGACAGCTGTTTAGTCCTAATATAGAACCCGCCAACAGTGGACTGCCATGACTCCAACCGGACTCGTACAGAGAGCATTCAGGTCTTAGAGTGAGCACATTACCATTGGAATCCGATAATCTACATTTTCTTACTTCATTCGATTCGCGATGTAGAGCCACCTTCATCCAACACCAATAAATAAATAAGAAATACCCCGAGACATTGAAACTGAATTACTGTCAAGTGTTCATTAGTGACATACTGCGAAGTGAGACATCCTGAAGTTATAATGAGAAGTCTTGACCGGTGAGGCGAAGTCACATATGATGACATTGGATAAAGGTCGCACTATATCGCAAATTGACAAAAGTAGGAAAATGTGAATCGTAAGATTCTCACAGAGTGTCTCAATGGTAGCGTGCTCACCATGAAACCTGAAGGCTTTGTTTCGACCACTGTATGGGTGCACACTCTTGAGTAGTCATGTTAGGATGTTCCAAATTCAGTTTATCACAATTGTACTGACTGCTGATTCCCGTGTGTAAAGTGAAACCAAACTGAATCATAATGAGCATTATTGAATAAAATATCAGGCTGAGGATCTGGAAAGGCTTAATCTCAACTCTGTAGTGGCCTTCACATTTCAACCTAAGTAATAATTTTCTTACACAAATATTTGCCTGTCAATTGAAGGCTGGCTTGTAGCCTCTGATGAGCAGTAACAACTACTAGTATATTGACAAATAGATCCAACATATGTCAGTAGAACTCGTCAAATTCTTATAAAATCATCATTTTAAGTTGCCTAATGCACTGTTAAACTTGCCTGTTTTTCATATGAATGAAATGAAAACATGTTTTACTGTTCCAAATAAGGCCTGATCAAAAAGCGTCTTTCACTTTTACAAAATACTTATCCTCACATGTTTGAATTTGATTAACTGATAAATTCTGTCTAACAATTAAAGGGTTTTTTATCAACCGATTACATAATAATACTGGTATATGTTTGTAAACTCGACAGTTTTAGTCTATTGGTGAAACATTATTTTGTTTGTTTATCTGATTGTTGTCTTATTTCACTGCTTGTTTATGTTACGCAATGCTTTCAAACAGACAAGTGTCCGGTGTGCATAACAGAAGCCTGGTGAACATGAAAATATGATTACTTATAGTTAATGTTAAACAAGTTTGGGCTCAATGAAGAAGAATATCAATGTTAGGGTTTACTTTTTGATGGGATTTTTCTTTTTCATCGGCTCCGCAGCTTTTTTAAAACAACAACTGACCTACACGAAATTCAACTGAACATAGGCAGTAACCTTAACAAACTTATAGTAAGTGATTAACTTCGTAAAATTCCAATGTTTCACAACGAGTTCCTTGTAAAATTCATCAAGGAAGTATGATCCTATGTTACTGGCTAAAATTTATATATTCTTTTAGTTGTATAGGAGAATTAAAGTTTCGATTTTTAGGAATGAGAATTTCAGAGCATGGAATGATTTCTAGAAATCCCTATCAACTAAAATTTTCATCAACTGTACTTCCCCTATTTTTAGATGATAAGAACAATCATGCAAACAGTGTTGGCATCATGCAGTAGTAATGAATATAGGGAACACTACCTAGACAAGAATCTGAAAGCATCTCTAGAAATATAATAGCTATAATAGAGATTAATGAGCATAAGAAGTCAATGGATGGTATCAACTCTGTTTAAACATACTCAGGTTATGTGGCTACGTAGTAATACTTCATACCCCTGAGGCTTCTATCGGTTTGTAAGTAGTATTCAGTCACAAACAATAAACCCACTAGCAGTAGTGTCACTTTATTCTCGCTGAAGTCTATTCACAATTTGTCCTGTGTATTTGGTTGTGTTTTCCTGTTTTACAGTTTTCATCATATTATGAACAAGCTAGGTGTATAATCTCGTAGCCTGAACAAAGTCCTCAAATGAATTTTATTTCCCATCGAAGTTTTGATTCAGTTAAAACGAACATTGTACAGTACGTGTTCCAGAAGTAAAGTCCTCCAGTTTCTGCACCCTTAAGAGGGTGAAATAATGGTGATCCTTCAATCATAGAAGCGAATCCCAAGATAAGTATTTCTAAATAGATTCATGCATTTGAGTTAAATTAAGAGCATGACACGCACCTACCTTTTTTAATGAATGACAGTTATACTATTTCACGAACAGACAGGAGTTTTGAAATATAAACTACAAGACATAGGCCCAATGGATGAAAGGTGAAGTGCTCACTGTGATTCGTAATGACTTTTGATTTGATCCTTCATGAATGTGAGAATATACCCTGCTAAGAAGTTCAGATGACTAGACAAATAACTGTTTAGTGCTCTCCTCCTTTCAACGGTTTCCCAGCTTATAACAGTCCTGATGAATTCATCAAATAAGAAATTATTTACATTAAACTAAAATACAGAAGTTAATAATACAGAGTCTATATGCATGTACCAAAAATATATAAACAACATCCTCCCTGTAGTTTCATGATATTCCAATTAAATTTCCCTATCTTCATTCATGTATTCATAATAATTTTTTTCCATCTGTAAGCCATTCAGAAACATCACTGACCTGCCTACTCACTTAGCATGTTTTGGTAAGTTGATTTATCCATCTATTTAATTCTCTTTTTAGGCATCCTTTTTTCATACCCGCTCACTCTTTCACTCGTTCTCTCGCTCTTTTTGGCTTGTCTCTAAAATAAATTACTCATTTTCTTCTCTGATATAAATAATTTCATGCTTATTCCTTTTCATATTAAAAATAAAACTTTTTACCATTTCACCTTTTCTCTAAAAATCTTTCCTATGTCTTTTCACTTTCTTTTTAAGTAGGGGTATATATAAATAGCTTTTGTCTTGAAAAACAAATTGTTTTATCACCTGCACACCTGATGCTTTTGAAAGACACTGCGTGTAACCTTTGTTTACAAATATCTCCCACACAAACTTAGATGCATAAAGATACACATGACTTGTTTGAGAACGATTTTTTATCCCTTCTTCTGATTTCTCAGTTAACTTCAGTTACAAACAGAGATATCTTTTTCTTGTATTTTTACAACTAACTACATACACAATCTCTGTTATTTTATCTTTACTATTATCAGATTATTGAGAAGGTAAACAGAAAACAATGTTAAGTGAAAAATGGAGTGAGGATATATTTGAGCTAACATATTACACAAATCGTTTTAGAGTTCATTGATAAATCTAGAATGTTTTTACACATGGAAACTACTTTCTTAACCTAACTTATATTTTAATTAGCATAGGATCAGAGAAAGAGAAATTCTTAAGAATCTAAATGTTAGAATCCGATAGGCACACTTCAACTTATCAGACACTTTTCATCTAAATGTGTTTGCATGTCATTAAGTCATGGTTTGGAAAACTTGATTCGGGAACTCAATTCTTTGAACACCAGAACACTGCTCATATGGTTGATAATGAACTGAATCGATTAGTACCTCTTAGCATATAGCTGTTATAATGAACGCCACACTACTGCTTGGAGTTGCATGCTGATATGATCTGCTTGATGGTGGCTAGCAGTGTTATTTTGGATGTGTGTTTCATATTTCCATGCACTCAACAGGTGGACTTCTCTGCGGTTGTGTTATGCACTTCTTACCGAGATTCAACCCCATCACTGTCAGATGCTAACAGATGCGGAACAATTGGGTTCAAGTAAATAATTACGTGGAGATTACAGTTATAAATATTTTTTATAGAAGTATTAAACTTCAGTTTCTAGAAATAACATATTTGACAAGAAATAAATTCATCACTAGGATTTTCGAACTATTTTCTGTCGTACTAAGTTAACTTGTTTTTATGTTCAAGCCAGGGCATTTATCCAGGATGATGATAAGCTCGATCATATTTTCTGCTATTCATGCAAACTTTATCGGTTGTCAGTAGTGCGCAATGAAGAGGTGGAATACTTCAGTAGAAAATCCGGTAACTATGACCACATAACATCTGACCCATCTTAAGTCTGCTAATAAGAAAAGTGTAACAAAAGAGTACATATAATTTATACGAATATTGACAAAGATTTGACTGGATAGTTTGTTGAATATTGGATACCAAGTGGAAAGTTGATACTACACATGTTTTATTTGTATTAGTTTGAAATAAAAGTTGGTACATAGTTCTAATTGTATTTTCAGTTGATTATAAACTGAGCTGAGAATAATCCAGGTTGTAAGATTGTCAAGTCATAAATAAAGTAAAGCAAAAAAGTGAAAAGTGGTATCATTTCAAAGTTACATTACTGAA